AAGGAAAAAAAAACAAAACCCCACTTCTCCACTCCTCCTTCAGCCCTCCAGAGCAACGCGGGCTCTCGTCTGCCGGCTCTTCCCAGCTGCCCATGGAGCTAACTGGGAGCTGGGTGCTCTGACACAGCGGAGCGTTTATCACCACCAGCCATAACCAATACGATATCCAGGCTCTGACGTAATCAGCTCCGCTGCTCTGGCTGCCATCTACTTCAGAGGCTGCCTTAAACTTCCAAAACCACGAGGAAAAACAAAAAAAGGGAGCCCTTTCGTACAAAGGACACGAAACCTCCCAACGCGACCGGAAGCAACGAGCTGGCCCGCAGCTGGCCGAGGACTCACAGGCGAAAGCCCCCAAAAAGCGATGTCTTTTTAAAGCAAACTGCGTGCACGCGCTGCTTCCAAATCATCTGGATTTCATAAAAAGCAAACCGCAATGTGGTCGGGAGTCAGGCAGTTTGTAACTTCAAAACATCTCTCAGGGTTAGAGCAAGCAAAGCCCGCGCGCAACCTCAGAGAGCGATCCCGCTCCCGACGCCCGGCCACTCCTCCCGACGGCGTTTCCACACACCTCTGACAACAGCTCCTGCTAGTAAAGCCACAGGAGCATTACTGTGAGAAACCATGCAACACCTACACCAGGGCAGAAGGACCAGTTGCCTTCTTGGATCGCCTCTGGAGCTACGCAATTTCACTTTAAACAAAAATAAAAACCTGCGTAAAGCATTCGGCTGAAGGAATGCTGTCAGGTGTCTTCCCCATCTGAAGAACCCAAACAGATGTAACGCTGTTTACGGTGCTCTGGCAGCTAACAGTCGTTTCGTAACTAAACTTGTTTTTTTTCCTGGTAGGTTTGCGTGCGTGCTTACTACACGGTTGCTCAAAGGGGCTGTCCCGCCGCAGAAAACACCCTCGCAGCACAGCGAGGTGAACGCGGTGACGCGCAGCATTTCTGCTCTCTCCAGCGCTCCTGGCAGGCCATTAGAACTTGTCCCTCACAGCTACTGATGACACTAAGATGGGAGGAGTGGTGGATACACTGGCAGGCTGTGCTGCCATCCAGCCAGACCTGGACAGGCTGGAGAGCTGGATGCAGAGGAACCTGATGAAGTTCAACAAGGGCAAGGGCAGGGTCCTGCGCCCAGGGAGGAACAACCCCAGGCACCAGTACAGGCTTGGGGTGGACCTGCTGGAGAGCAGCTCTGCAGAGAGGGACCTGGGAGTGCTGGGGGACAACAAGGTGACCATGAGCCAGCAGTGTGCCCTGGCTGCCCAGAAGGCCAATGGGATCTTGGGGTGCATTAACAGGAGTGTGGCCAGCAGGTCGAGGGAGGTTCTCCTTCCCCTGTGCCCTAGTGAGGCTCCCTCTGCAGCGCTGTGTCCAC